CGTCGTAAGCTTCTCTTTTCTTTATTTATTTAGTAATTTGAGCATACATACAGAGGTACAAAAAAAATACTGGTAAGAGCAGCATTCCAAAGCCACTTGTATGCATAGCATTACGGGAAGGCTTAAAATTAACTTAAGATTAACTAAGCAATGATGTAATCAGTGAGTTAGTTTAGTTTAATATGTTTATTATGCACCCCATACCCATCCTGTGGGCGGTAGTCAAAAGATTACAGAGGTACATAATGGGTCCAGGGACTGGGCCTCAAAGTTTTGATAGCTGAGCAAGTTACAGAGGTAATGAATTCACAATTTACAAAGGTAATGAACTCACAATTTACAAAGGTAATGAACTCCAGGTAGGTCTAGTCACAATCATGACAAGTTACAAAGGTATTTACAGATTACAGAGGTACACAATGGGTCCAGGGACCGGGCTCCAAAGTTTTGATGGCTGAACTAGGTACAAGGTAATGAACTCACAAGTTACAAAGGTAATGAACTCACAAGTTACAAAGGTAATGAATACTGTAAGAATGGTTACTTACGTGTATACATGGCTGCAATCATGTTATTGTTATCTGTTTACAATAATGTTTTATCACTGTAATCAGTGATAAAACATTATTGTAAACAGATAACAATAAAGCACAAATGAGTATTACAAAGACAGGTCATATGGTTGCATGCATTGCTGTACATTCAGTCGTATGGAGTATTCTGTTAGGTAGTGTATTTAAAAAATAACAAAGTTAAATTGGGTCTTAGGTTTAACATTTATGTGATATAATTGTGAGAAACATTTAAGATATACAATTTATAAGGTTCAGTTATTCAGTATTTATTTGGTTTTGGGTGAGTAAGTGATCTTTGAGAAGAGACTTGAATTTATAAACAGGTAGTGTTTCTTTTATATTTACAGGTAATGAATTCCAGATTTTAGGGCCTTTTATGTGCATTGAGTTTTGCATAGTGTGAGATGGACACGAGGAACATCAAAGAGTGATCTGTGCCTTGTGTTATGGTCATGTGTTCTGTTGAGGTTGGCAAGGAGATGTTTGAGGGGAGGGTTAATATCAGAGTTAAGTGTTCTATGTATGTAATAGGTGTAATAATTAGTATGGATGTTTTGTATGGTGAGTAGGTTTAGTGTTTTGAATATTGGTGGAGTGTGCTGCCTGTAGTGGGAATTTGTTATCATTCTGACTGCAGCCTTTTGTTGGGTAATTAGTGGTCTGAGATGGTTAATTGTTGTTGAGCCCCATGCACAAATTCCATAGGTGAGATAGGGGTAAATAAGAGAGTGATATAGGGCCAGGAGGGCTGACTGTGGAACATAGTACCGTATCTTCGATAGTATGCCTACAGTCTTGGAAATTTTCTTAGAAATTTGTTGTATATGTGTATGAAATTTGAGTCTATTATCAAGGTGGATTCCTAAGAATTTTCCCTCTGTTAGCTTTGTGATAGGTGATCCGTTTATCATTATGTTAAGAGGGACATCTGTAGCTCTGTTACCAAACTGAATGAAGTAGGTTTTGTCAGTGTTTAGTGTAAGTTTGTTAGTCCTCATCCAGGTAGATATTTTCTGTAATTCGGTATTTACAGTATTGGCTAGCGTGACTGGGCTCGGGTGAGAGAATACCTATGTAGTGTCATCTGCAAATAGTGTGGGTTTGAGTAATTGCGAAGCATTTGGTAGGTCATTTATGTATAGGAGAAAGAGAAGAGGGCCAAGGACACTTCCCTGTGGGACACCAACTGTACTTGGTTGTGCGGAAGAGTTTGCCCCATTTGTGTACACATATTGGCTTGAGGTAGTTGAGGGAGTGCCCTCTTATACCATAGTGTGACAATTTTATGTGGAGCAAGTCATGGTAAACTGTATCAAAAGCTTTACGTAAGTCAATGAAGATCCCCAGTGGGACTTCTTTTTTCTCTATTGCAGTGTATATATGTTCTAGCATGTGTATAATAGCATCATTAGTATTTTTATTAGGCCTGAATCCAAATTGGCAGGGGTTGAGTATGTTTTGGGAGATGAGGTAGGAGTAGATTCGTTTATGAATTAATTTTTCGAAGATTTTTGAGAGAGGGTGTAAGTTGGATATTGGCCTATAGTTATTCAATTCTGTTTGGTCTCCTTTATGGATCGGGGTGACCCTTGCTATTTTGAGAACTGTAGGGAAGGTGGAGGATTCATTGGATTTGTTAAAGAGTGTTGCAATGATTGGTGATAGCACTTGTGACACTTTTTTGTATAAAAAGGGTGGTAAGGTATTTAAATCTCCTGCCTTTTTTTTAGTGCGTTGATAATAAGGGAGACTTCGTATGGGTTAGTCGGAGCTAGGAACAGTGTGTTCGGGTAATTGCCAGTGAGGTAGTCATTTGGTGGGGTATCTGAGCTTGGGATTTTATTGGCAAGGTTTTGTCCTATAGTGGAGAAGAAATCATTGAGTCTGTTTGCTGTTTCTGTTGGTGAGAGTTGGGATTCATCTGATTTTGCTAATTTTATTTCGCTATTTCGTGATATCTTTTTTGTTCCTAGAATTTCCGATAGGGTTTTCCAGGTCTTTTTTTATATCACCTCGTAAGTTGGATAATCTGTTCTCATAATACAATTTTTTTGCCCTTCTTATCAGGCTGGTTAGGATTGACAAGCAACGTTTTGTTTGGTCTCTGGTTATGTGACCCATTCTGTACTGTTTTTCATATCGGTGTTTTGTATTTATGGATTTGAGAATGCTGGGTGTTAGCGGGTTATTTGTGTATTTGTTCCTTCTTTATTTATTTATCCCCCCCCCACGATGTTCTTACTCTTACCCTCTGTGGGCACCAGCTCCCTTCCAGTGCTCCTCTTTTTTAGTATTTGACTGGCCCCTTCTACTCTTACTACCTATCCACTACTACTTCCTTCCACCTCCACTACTACCACCACCTCCTGCCTGTATATACCCGTCCTGCTCTCCTATTCGTTAGTGTGACTTTGTAAATGGTCCAGGTCTTACCGAAACGTTGTCGTAAGCTCCTCTCTTTGATGTGCGGGTTATTTGTGTATAAATTGTCTCGGCCAAGACAGCAACCAACAAAATGTTCTATTCTTACTCTAATAATAAGGCTTATTTACCTATCACAATTGATCTAATACGACATAAGGCAATAAAATAATAGCATAGAAACAAAAGAGTACGCCACAAGAGTACGCCCGGTGGCCTGGTGGCTAAAGCTCCCGCTTCACACACGGAGGGCCCGGGTTCGATTCCTGGCGGGTGGAAACATTTCGACTCGTTTCCTTACACCTGTTGTCCTGTTCACCTAGCAGCAAATAGGTACCTGGGTGTTAGTCGACTGGTGTGGGTCGCATCCTGGGGGACAAGATTAAGGACCCCAATGGAAATAAGTTAGACAGTCCTCGATGACGCACTGACTTTCTTGGGTTATCCTGGGTGGCTAACCCCCCGGGGTTAAAAATCCGAACGAAATCTTATCTTATTTATTTATTTATTTATTTAAAAATTTGAGCACACATACAGAGGTACAAAAAATACAGATAAGAGCAGCATGCCAAAGCCACTTATACTATGCATAGCATTACTGGCTGGCTTAAAATTAACTTAAGATGAACTAAGCAATGATGACATCAGTGATAAAACTTTAATGTAAACAGATTACTATAAAGCACAAGTGAGTATTACAAAGACAGGTCATATGGTTGTATGCATTGTTGTACATTCTTAATACAAAAAATACAGATAAGAGCAGCATGCCAAAGCCACTTATACTATGCATAGCATTACGGGCTGGCTTAAAATTAACTTAAGATGAACTAAGCAATGATGACATCAGTGATAAAACTTTAATGTAAACAGATTACTATAAAGCACAAGTGAGTATTACAAAGACAGGTCATATGGTTGTATGCATTGTTGTACATTCTTAATATCGAGCCCTGAGAGGAAAGGGACTTCATGAACACAACCCGCCACAAGGTTATACTCGTTCTCTCGTCACTATAATGAAAGAAAACGTTTGTAGACGATGGCTAACTGTAATAAACACGTAGGTTAGGGAAAAAGTGTAAAGAAAGCGAATTTTTCGGGGGAAAAAAATATTTCCCCGCGTACTTGGGCAGGCGTGCGTATCGGCCATTATCTCGGAAGTAAGTTATTTACCTATTTGGGGGCAGTCCATCATTATTTATGAACGAATTAACCCGATTTTCACAACAAACATAAAAGAATGATTGCTGTACACGATTAAATTGGTCTTTTTGAAGTATCCCAAATATTTTCAGATTTGTGCGGGTAAACAAGGCCGGTATCTTCCTAAATGTCATACAACTTATAAACTGTATTTTTTTTTATAATGAAGATAAAGTTTATTACAGAATTGGTTGACTTAGGGTGATGGAATTAGAAGTGTTCTATCAGCAGCAAGTGTCAGAACCACTTTTTCCAAGTAATACTTCTTAGGAATGCCCTGCCAAATGTAATATTTAGTAAATTTTGCTTTTTTTTTCATTTACTTTTTGGCCTATCATTCTGAAACTTTATCAAAGCATGGTCGATATAAGCTCCTAATAGTACACCAAAAATGAACGTAATCGGTCGACAAATAAAAAAGTAGACCCATTTTCGTGTAGTGGCCCCCTTATGCTTAACTGAAACCCACATAAACATCAATTTATCTTCCTCAGATATATATTCTTAAATTAATAATGGATTTCTCTATTCTATCACATGTTTATGTAAATTACAACAAATGCACCAGAAAATTAATTATATTTCACAGTATTATATTCATTGGAAAGGGTTTAACCCACAGGAGTCATACAGAATCCTGGGAAAGAAGGTAATTAGGTTTAATCTGAGAAAGGGGTGGGTAGTTTTAATTCATTGGGTAAAGAGCCCTTCCCCAGCATCAAGGCAGCCCATCCACCTTAAAGGATCATAGTATTATCAATGAGTCCTAGACCTAACTACCATATAAGTAGTCTAAAGTGTCTGGTTGTACCTTTGCAGTGAGTGAGGGTGTGTTGAGGGTGGTGACGGAGGACGTAGTGCAGGCATCACTGGTCTCTGACAAGGGTGCCGAGGCTACTTTGGTCTCCTGGACCACTGAGACCTTCACTGCTGCCTACGATGGTGCCACTTCCGAAATCGCCAACGTCAGGATACAGTACACGCTGGCAGGGACAGCCGAAGAGGTGTCCTATGTGGTGAAGGTGACGCCGAGCAGGGCACAAGAAAAAGAGTTTTACAGCATCATTTTTGCGAAAGAGTGCAACTTTTATGCTGAGATCATCCCTGCCCTTAATGCTGTACTCAAAGGCATCGGGGAAAAGCCTCTGAGATTTCCCAAATGTGTTTACTCCAGCCTGGAGCCGGGGAAGGAGATGATCATGCTAGAGAACTTGCAGGAACAGGGTTACAGCATGCAAGATAGAACAGTGGGAATAGACGCTGCTCACAGCCTGCTGGTGCTGCAGGAACTAGCCAGGCTGCATGCAGCTTCTCTGCTCCTGCAGGCCATCACACCTCACCAACCCCTGGTACACAGGTTTCAGGCACTGCAGAAAGAATGGACGAAAGAGTTTAACATAGGGGGAGATTTTGAGACATTCATAAGTAATCATTTGGACGATGTAGTCGAGATGTTTGAGAAGATGGGCGGGTGTGAGGAGGTGGTGGCGTGGGTGAGGAAGATCAAGCCTGAGGCCTGGACCCTGTACAAGCAGCAACTGGTCGCTACTCCACCATTTGCAGTCATCAACCATGGCGACTGCTGGATAAATAACTTATTGTTCAAGTGAGTGCTTGATAAACAGTTATTAAGTATATTAGGTGCTATCAGAAAGTTCCTGGACTCGAATTTTCGCTCACTTTATGAGTTAAAATATGGCGATGGTGTAGATCATATGGTGCAATAAAGGCCTTTGTAACAATGAACGTTTCAGTGCAGTCATTTATTCCATTAAAATCAGATGAGCCCTTTTTGTCATGTCAGTGTGATTTTTATGTAGAAGAATGGACTCCTTTAAAGAAAAAACAGCATGTATGTAAAATTCTGTTTGAAGCTCGGTAAAATGGCAGTTAAATTCAGATTGCTTCAGCAAGCATTGGGCAAAAAAACTGAGTTGTACACAGTATTTTGAATGGTTTTCTCAGTTCAAATCAGGACAAATGTCACTTGATGATGATGAATGCTTTGGTCGTTTATCAACATCAAAAACACAACAACGAAAAGTAATTACTATTCACGAAGATTGTCCTGGAAGTATCCAGGACATTGTAAGAGTTGTGGGAATTTTTTTTTGGGTCGTGTCAAAGCATTTTGACTGAAAATATGAAGATGAGGCGAGTGACTGGAATTTGTGCCCCATCTGCTGACTCAAGACCAGAACAACCACTGTTTTTTGGCCCAAAACAACATAGCAGTCATCCCCTACCTCTCCTCCTCTTCATATCTAGTACCCTCTCGATGATTAGGTCAGCCTACATATTTTTTTCGTAGCAGTCGAAGAAATTTCTGATAGCATCTTGTAATTTTGAAGTGTATCTGGCTCACAAAATCGTAGTAACACAATTGCAAACAAGCCACAGAACAGGTGGGGTTGGAACCCATGGCGAGTTTTGCGATTGAGATTCACTCGCTATGGGGTCACACAACCACCTGTTCCCTGGTTTATGAAATGCAACTGTAACATTGTTGTATTATTTTTTTGAAATATGTTTTATGCATTTTCTTTGGTTTTATAGGTTTTAGTATTTCCATGTTTCAATATTTGCCATTTAATGACTCAGGAAATCATAATGACACGATTGCAAACAAACCATACCACAGACGGGGATAGAACCCGCGATCAGAGTGTCTCAAAACTCAGTGGCTAACGCGACGGTCTGGAGTTTTGAGACACTCTGATTGTGGGTTCTATCCCCGTCCATGGTATGGTTTGCCATTTATTCCTTGATAAATATATTTGTGACTATTCTGTCAACGATTTTCTGACAATCTGCAAAACTTTAAACTCCTTCCCAAGGTATTGCTGTGTTTTCATCATGTATTGGTTATTTTATCCACACAAATAACATAAAAAATGACAGAATGTAATAATAAGAACCATAATAATAATAATAATATAATCAGGTATGACAAAGACAAGAGGCCAGTAGAGGTGAAAATGCTGGATCTACAGTGCTGCCGTGTGGCCTCAGTAGCAACAGACCTCCTCCTCTTCCTCAATTTGAACCTCACAGGACCTGTCCGTCGACCCAACCTCAACACCTTCCTGGCCTCCTACCATGCCACCCTCACCAGCGTCATGCAGAAGGGCAGCTCCATCGTACCCTTCACTCTGGAGCAGCTGCAGCAAGAGTATGTTGACAGGGGATACTACGGCATCCTCGAATGCCTCATGTGGCTGCCAAACACGGTTCGCCAGCCTGAGGATATGATGGATATCCTGGACCGCACAGAAGATGCCAGGAATGCGGAGAGAGATGATGTATTAGTAATGGTAGACAGAAACCCTTTGCTTAAACCCCGTATCATCTCAGTCGTGGAAGAATGGATGGAAAGAGGTGTTATCTCTTAGTAGTCTTTTCTCTAAAAAATAAATACAGTGGTCCCTCATCGTCGTTAATTCGTTCCTGGAAGTGCGATGATTATCGAAAAAGACAATTTTCGAATCAATTTTCCCCATAAGAAATAATGTAAATACAATTAATCCGTTCCTGACACCCAGAAGTATTAAAACAAAAATTTTTTTTACCTGAAATATAGATGTAGTACATAAATAATACAATGGGACATGATGAGTGAAACATTAACAGCATAACACTTACCTTTATTGGCGATTCTTAGTGTATGGAAGACTGGAGGAAGAGAGAGATTGGATTAGTTACTGTTTGGAAAGGGAATCCCCTTCCATCAACACCTCAGGCACCAAGTGCTTTTCTGAGGTTACTTCTCTGTTTCTTAATGCCACTAGGAACAGCTTGAGAGTCACTGGAGTCCTGTCTCACAAAAAAAGTGTCCAGAGAGCTCTGTTTCTGGCATCTCATTAAAACTTCCCTAAAATGGGCCAAGACTCTGTCACTGTACAAATTGCCAATATGGCTTGCAACATCCTTCTCAGGGTGATGTTTCTCCATAAATCTTTCCATCCTACCCCACATTTCACCATGCCTTATCACACTGTATGCCACTACGCTTCTTAAATCTCTCAAACCCACTTTTGCTGGCCTTAAATTCACAATTATCAGTACTCGTTGCAGGCAATTTCTTTACCAGATCGTCATGCAGCTGCTTAGCATTTTCACAAATAATCGACGTCATAAGAGTATCTCCTGCTAATTGATTCTCGTTTATCCACACCAATAATAACTTCTCAACATCTTCGAGTACTGGTGATCTCAATTTTGTCAGCATATTTACCCCTGCAACAACAGCTTCCTTGATTTCCTTTTTCTTGACCACGATGGAAGATATGGTTGTACGGGATTTGTTATACATCCTGGCCAGTTCGGCCACATGTACGCCACTTTCATATTGTTCAATGATGTTTTTCTTAAATTCAATCGTATTTCTCACTTTCTTTACCAAAGGCTTGGCACTAGGAGCTTTCTTTGGAGCTATGGTAGCTTATTTAGCACTTGCAAGCACTAAAATGAATGGAATATTATGAAATATTTCGTATGAACAAGTGAGGGGACCGTCGCTCACTGGTAAACAATGGCACACTGGCTGGAAAGGGAGGCCGAAGCGGCTCAGAGTGTGAGTACACGTCCCGGATGAAGAACGATTAGCGAGTAAACTGACCATTTGCGAGCCAATGTTTGGACAAGAATAACGCTACGATTTCCATAAAGGACAACTATCGAGCCGGACGATTATTGAGGGACCACTGTATGGAAACAGATGTATGGAAAGAAATACATGTAACACTGTTTTTATTTACTAGGCTATCCTACGTGAAATCTGCATTTAAATTAGTGTGAGTAAAAACTTATAGAAAATCCATGAAGCAGTCCCCAAATTTTGACAGTCGGTACGAGCCTCTGGAGGGCACCAAGCTAAAGCTTGGTATTTTCTGAAAGCAACATTTAAATAGAACAAAGAGTTGCCTAACAGTCAACAGGTTAGCATAGTTTCGGCATAGCCAAAATAATGTGAAGAGCAGCTGTTGTCTGCTGTAGCTGCCAGTATATTTATCGGGCATTTATGTACATGTAAACAAAACAGTAAAAGTAATGTTAAAGATAGTTCAGGGAGTTCTAATAAACATTTAATATAATCAAACCTTGGCAGATATTGCAAGTGTATAGAATAGGTAGTAAGTTACTAAATGCTGTAAAGAGCTTTTAATGAGGATTGTGAGGCTCAGGTTAGGGTGTGTAGAAGAGAGGGAAATTAGTATTTCCCAGTAAAAGTAGGTCTTAGACAGGGATGTGTAAAGTCACCATGGTTGTTTAACATATTTATAGAGGGGGTTGTAAAAGAAGTGGTGTGGAGAGGGTGGAATTAAAATATATGGAATCAAATAATAAAATGGGAGGTGACACAGTTACTTTTTGCTGATGATATTGTGCTTTTGGGACATTCATTAAGAGAAGTTGCAAAGGTTAGTGGACAAGTTTGGGAGGGTGTGTAAAGGAAGAAAGTTGAATGTGAACATAGATAAGAGAATGTGGTGAGGGTATCAGACGAGTTAGGTAAGGAAAAACTGGATATCAGATTGAAGGGGGGGAGTATGGAAGAAGTGCATATGTTCAGATATTTGGGAGTAGATGTGAAGGTTCTCTGTACATTTCCTAGATCAACAATTTCACCTGCTTTGAAAGGTGCTGTTAGTGTTCAGCAATATTCCAGCCTAGATAGAACAAACAACCTGAAGTGTGTCATCATGGGCTTGGCATCCCTAGTTTTGAAGGTTCTCATTATCCATCCTGTCAATTTTTGCAGCAGATGCGACTGATACAATGTTGGGTCTTTGAAAATGAGATCCTCTGGCATTATCACGCCAAGGTCTTTTACATTAGTTTTTTGCTCTATTGTGTGGTTGAAATTTGTTTTATGGATAATGATCTCAATACCCACACCCAACTTAGCTGGGCATAGGGGGACATAAACAGAATTAAGGGTACCAGAACTAGTCAGATTGCTCACCCTCATCCCCTACATAGGGCAAATGAGTGATTCAGTGCTTGGGCTGGTACATCTAGCTATGGCAATCTTATCAGTATTACACAGGCAAAATTAATGGACAAACATGATGCAAGGGAGAGACTGATTTGTTTTATGCTCAGCAAGGAAGATGACTGTAACATTCCTTTCACTAACTTTAAACTTGATGCAGCACAAACAAAGGGCAACTCCACGTTGCCTGGGGAGGATGATATTACAACATACTCAGATTGCTATGTAGAGTACCAGGTAATTCTTTACTTGAATTATATAACAAGAGCTATGTAACTGAGGAGCTCCCTAAACCTTGGACCAACAGCCTCATCATTCTCGTTTCAAAGACCAATCAACAAAACCCATTTCTCCCAATATCTCTTACTAGCTGCTTCTGTAAAACATTCATGAGGATATTCTTAATTGTCTCATGCACAGAATTAAGCAGTTTTTGTCTCCCCGGTTGCATGGTTTCATGTACGAAAGGCGCGGGGCATCATTGCATAACCACCTTTCTCACTGCACACTGACAGCTAATACACTACCTTGCTTGACGTTAAATCTGCTCTTGATGTAGCCAACCGACATGTAATCATTAGTGAACTTGCCAGAATGGATGTTGGAGGATGGCTTCTCCACTGGATTAAAGGCTGCCTGACCAACAGAAAGTCTTCTGTGTTGTTTCAGGGACATAGAAGCGTAACTGAAGACTGAATTAGGAACCCCACAGGGAAGTGTGCTCAGCCCCACTATTCAATATTTTAATTAATACTTTACTTAATGCTATGCCTACCCAGCCCCATCATTATATGATTAGTTTTGCTGATGATATAATGATTCGCACCACCAGATTCTCCAGCACCCATAAGAACCTTAACCATGTACTAATCTTGTGTCAGGACCTGGGGCTGATAATCTCTACTGATAAAACAAAGATACTCAATAGGCGTCTTCCTCGACAGAGAGGAGCAGTTCGCCAGATCCAGTTACATGATGGGTCTCTTCTAGAATATGTAACCGGATACAGGTATCTAGGCTTTGAGGTCCCACTGCTTGGAACTATTGTAACAAGATTTTGTTGCCAGTATGAAGAAAGGCTGAGGGCACTTAGAGTTGTGGCAGGTTTTCATCCAAGGTATGGTGCTAATGTTAAAATTTTGAAAATGATGTATCTTGCTTATATTAGAGCATTATTTGATTATGCTGTGCCACTACTTGCTCTTGTGTCTGACTGGAAGCTTGAAGGGCTGGAAAAACTGCAGTACGAAGCAATGAGGTGGCTCTGGTGGCTAATGCTCTTGCTTCACACAGCAAGAGCCTGGGTTCGATTCCCAGCCAGAGTAGAAACATTGGGCGGGTTTTTTTTTCCACCGTTGTCTAGTTCCCCGTCGAAAAGGGGTAGGGGGTTTAGTCGACGGGTGGGGGCGCTTCTGGGACACTGCCCCTAATTTCCCCCGAAACCGCATAAAAAGGGGGCTTCTATTATATATGTCACTGATGTCCCTGGGCCCTGTATATATTCATTACTTGTAGTGAAAAAAAAGATATTTTATTATATTATTATTATTTGGGATGCCCTATACTGCCAAAATTAAGAATATTCAATTCCCTTTTTTCTTTTGTAACTCCCCAGATGCCCTATGTACAAAATTATACACTGTTATGCCTTTTTAATTTTAAGTTAGTCTTAAACTTGCCCAAAAAATGCTTCATATAAAGGGGGGTTTTTTGGCCTGACGTGCACCAATTTTTTAATTTCCCTTTTGTACAAACAGTATCATGCTGAAAAAAAATTTTATTTCTCGGGCAGGTTGCATCAACATCCCCACTGACCTAAACAAAACCCATTTAAAATTTTTTGTCTGGGGGACTATTGTCATATCTTGAAATTATTCCAATAAAATAAAACTAATAAATTGAGAGATGACTTACTCAGAATTTTTAAGAAATGTTATAGTATTTTTATCTAGTGGTGTATTACCAATATTCGGAAAAAAAAAATATCCTAAATTTGCACACAAAACGCATAACATTAAACATTTTTAAGAACGTAGGGTTTTAAAAATAGGGGTTTAATTTTTTTTGTAAAAATTTTCGTACTTAATTCAGGGCTGCAAAATAAACATTACGATTGTAACGAAATTAAATAATAAAATAATTCATTCCACTAACTTATCTAGCCTCAAACTTTGGGGGCCCCGTCCCGGCCCATTTTGTGTGTGTGTAATCTTTTGACTACCGCCCCACCAGGGTATGGTGTGCTAAGTAGATATTAAAGTCGAGATGGAAAATTTAAAAGTATTTTAGGTACGGTACATAAAATACGTTACATAAATTATCATACATACACAATGTGTAGAAAAAAACAAACATAAAAAAATTAAAAAAAAAACCCCCCCCAAAAAAAAAGCCCGACAAAGTGGGTTATTTCCCACTTGGGGGCCTTGTGATAACTTATTATTAAGCTTTTATAAGTTTAAAAAAAGGAAGTACATAACTTTAAGGGTGTGAAAGCATTATAAAAGAAAGTGTTGTTTCTTTTTACATGCTTTGTTTTATGGTCATAACCTCCCTTTCCCCTGGCTGCTCGGTTTTGTTTGATGACGCAAAAACTTTTCATGGAGGGGGATGGGGTATCAATTTCATGATGGGTGAGGCATCCGTATGATGCTGAGGGGCTCAAGGGAGGTTTCCTTATGCTGGTGAGGGGTTCTTGATTACCCCCCCAAGAAGGTTTTCCCTTTTGGGGGGGGGCCCCTTGATCTAGGGGCCCCCCTCAAGGGAAAGGGTTTCCTTGATCTGGTAGGGGGTTCTTTATTAGGCCCCTCAAAAGGGGGGTTCCCCGACATGGGAGGGGTTCTTAATCAGGGCCCCCTCAAGGGAGGTTCCTTGATGCTGGGGAGGGGGTTCTTGATCTGGGGCCCCCTAAAGGGAGGTTCCTTGACAGGGTGAGGGGTTTTTAAAACTAGGCCCCCCAAGGGAGGTTCCTGATGCTGATAAAAGGGTTTGATTTTGGCCCCTAAGGGGGGTTTTCCTTGACACTGGTGAGGGGTTCTTAAACTAAGGAATTAAAATCTTGCTCGGCCCCCGAACTGACCTAAACCTTCCACTCCTCCCAAGGTGTATAATCCAGGGGGTTAGCACTCCCCCATGATTCTAATAAAAAGGGTAAGAATTAAATTAGTCTGCCCAAAATCCCGGGGCAGTAGTGGCCCCCTTTGTATTAATACTTTTTAAGATATCTTACCTTGTATATAATATGAAAAGTAGTAACCGATTTTTTAAGGTGTGCGAGGAAATAAATATTTTATTTTCACGCTGAGGGGTTTAATATCTTATTATGCACCCCATACCCTCCTGTGGGGGGGAGTAAAACCCATACCCACCCCTGGGGGTGGTAGTCCACCATACCCAAACCTGGGGGTGGGTCACACCATACCTTCCTGTGGGGGTAGTCACACCTCCATCCTTGGGGGGTTGTCACCCCTACCCACCTGGGGGGGGAGTCACACCATCCCCCACCTGGGGGGGTGTACACCAACCCATCCGTGGGTGGTAGTCCACAACCATACCCCATCCGGGGTGGTAGTCACACCATACCCATCCTGGTGGAGTCACACCATACCCATCCTGGGGGGGTAGTCACACCAACCCATCCTGTGGGGGTAGTCACACCAAAAAAAAACCCATCCGTGGGTGTATCACACCAAAACCCACCCCTGGGTGGTAGCCACCCCCCTTTGGGGTGGTAGTCACACCATACCCTCCGTGGGTGTAGTCCCCCCAAACCCCCATCCTGTGGGTTAGTCACACCATACCCATCCTGTGGGGGGAGTCACACCATACCCACCTGTGAGTGGTATCAAAAAAACCATCCCCATCCTGGGGGGTAGCACACCATCCCACCCCCTGTGGGTGGTAGTCCCCCATACCCATCCTTGGGTGGTAGTCAAAAACCCCAACCATCCGTGGGTGGTAGTACACCAAAAACCCATCCTGTGGGTGGTAGTACCCCATACCCCCCTTGGTGGTAGTCACACCAAAATACCCTTTCCGTGGGTGGTATCACAAACCAAAAACCCATCCTGTGGGGGTATCACCCATACCAATCCTTGGGTGGTATCACCCCTACCCCATCCTGTGGGGGGTAGTCACACCATACCATCCTTGGTGGTATCACACCCATACCCAATCTGTGGGGGTATCACCCCATACCCATCCTGTGGGGGTAGTCACCCATACCCCATCCTGGGGGTGGTATCACACCATCCCATCCTGTGGGGGGGTAGTCCCCCATCCCATCCTGTGGGGGTAGTCACACCATACCCTCCGTGGGTGGTGGCACCCCCTGCCCATCCTGGGGGGTGGTAGTAACACCATACCCATCCTGTGGGGTTTTCACACCAAAACCCTTTCCTGTGGGGGGTAGTACACCATACCCATCCTGGGGGTGGAGAACCATGCCCATCCTGTGGGGGGTATCAAAAAACCCAACCCATCCTGGGGTGGAGTCACACCCAACCCACCGGGTGGTAGTACCCCATACCCATCCTGTGGGTGGTAGTCACCCCCATACCCATCCTGTGGGGGTAGTCCCCACCATACCCTCCTGTGGGTGGTGTCACAAATCCCCCATCCTGTGGGTGAATCACCCCAAAACCCCCCTCCGGGGGTGGTAGTCACCCCATACCCCAACCTGGGGGTGGTAGTCCACCATACCCATCCTTTGGGGTGGTAGTCACACCAACCCCTCCTGTGGGGGTATACACCATCCCATCCTGGGGGTGGTAGAAAACCCATCCCCATCCTGTGGGGGTAGTCACCCCCCATACCCATCCCGGGGTGTAGTCAACCATACCCA